ATATAGCAATAGTCAAAAAGGTAAAAAGCATTCAAATAGAGAAAAGGTGATGTCCACAAAATCAGCAAATAACCCAAATCCAAGTTAGGAGACAAATCAGTCCCAAAATCCAAGAAGCAAATCCATAGGAAGAAAGTCTTTCTTTTCCAAAGGTGGCAAATGCAAAAGTCCCTTGAAGAAACAGGAGCCAACTTGAATCAAATAATCTAAATGCAGTAGCTTGAAATCACAAACACCAGCTTACAAAAATCTCAGCATGTGCATGAATACAAAGCAAGATTATACATGATTCCCCGCATGAACAAGCAAGCATGAAGCAGGCATGAAAACCAAATGTTGGACTTACTGAAGAGTATAGACTCACAGGCCCTATATTTATTCAGAAAGCCATGGCAAAAGCATTCCCTTTCCCTTGGGAAACCTCTCCCTGACCCCCTGATTCTCTTAATCTTTCAGACCGTCTTCTGCCCCCTTCCAGGTATGATGATGATTGATTTGACTTCTCCTATCAAAGACTGGACTACTGCAATGCACTCTACGTGGGGCTGCCCTTGAAAACGGCCCAGAAATTTTAGATGAGCGGCAGCCAGGTTGTTAACTTGTGCTCCTTACAGGGAGAGGTCATCCCTCCTGTTCAAGGAGCTCCACTGACTGCCATTCATCTACCAGACCCAATTCAAGGTGCAGGTTCTTACCTACAAAGCCCTGAACGGTTTGGGACCCGCCTACCTGTGTGACCGCATCTCTGTATACGAACCCACACGATCTCTTCGTTCATCTGGAGAGGCCCTGCTCTCGATCCCACCAGCATCGCAGGCACGATTGGTGGGGATGAGAGAGAGGGCCTTTTCGGTAGTGGCCCCTCAACTCTGGAACTCACTCCCTAAGGACATCAGGCAGGCCTCAACCCTGGGGTCTTCAGGAGGAGCTTGAAGATGTGGTTGTGCGAGTGTGCCTTCCCGGAATAATGATCCCATAGCACTTTGTCCCTCCAAAGCACTTTATACTTTTAGGTCTGCTCGTATGTCTTCCACAAACGCCACTATCGCCTTTTCGTCCATGCCTCAGCACTTTTCCAATTTTAATTTTTACATTTGGCCTTCCCACAATTTTTAATTGTATGTTGTCTTATTGATAATGTTATATGTTTATCGTTTATGTTTTATTTTAATTGCTTGTATTGTTGTATTATTGCCTGCATTGTTGTGTTTGGGCTTGGCCTCATGTAAGCCGCACCGAGTCCCTTGGGGAGATGGTATCAGGGTACTAATAAAGTGTTGTTGTTGTTGTTGTTATTATTATTAAGAGTGTCTGGTCGTCCCTCAGCTTGCCAATTAGTACATTCCTTTCACTATCACTATCTGGCCTTGGCCGTTCAACCTTTTCCTCGGCCCCTTTTTCTGTTAGCATCGAAGCATCTTTGCCTTGGGAACCAACGATCCCAGAATCCTCTGGTTCACTCTGGCTAGAACCAGATACTGTGTCAAAGAAGAGTTCAGATTCAGAGCCTCAAGAGAAACAATGTTTGTTCATCTTGTCAGGCAGCCCATCTAAAGATTACTTAGAAACCATTTCTATTAACAACAAAGACATGAAAGGACTTCGAGATACAGGCTCTGAAGTATGTATAGTGCATCCAGAAATAATACCTCAGGAATTTCAGCGGCCTACCTCTGAAATAAGATTAAAAGGTTTAGGACCTGCGATACCAACAGCAGTAGTGACTTTGCCAATAGAATATGGAGGATGGAAGGGTATGTGGGATTTTGCAGTCAGTCCTGACATACCATACAGATGTTTAATTGGAAATGATTTGGCTAAGAAGATTGAAAGCTGGAGGATGACGTGTGAAGAGGAAGAATATAACAACGAAAGCCATGATCAAAAAGCCATGTGTTTTGCCATACAACAGGATGGGGAGGAGAGTCCGGAATCCAGCGCTACGGTTGCTGAGCTTGTTAAGAAGACGGGAGGAATTGAAGAAATTCGGCAGGAACAAGGAGCCGATGAATCTCTTAAACCTCTATTCGCTTTGGCTCAAAACCCCACAATATTGGCAAAAGAACAGCCCTCCGAGTTTGTGTTAAAGAATGGTGTTTTATATAGAAAAACCAGGAATGTGGAGTCAACAGAAGAATCAGTGACAAGTAGTCAAATTGTAGTGCCTCAAAGTTTTAGAGAACAGCTGATGAGGGTGGCACACGAAAACCCTCAAGGTGGACATTTGGGTGTGAGGAAAACCACAAAGAGAATCACTAAGAACTTTTATTGGCCTGGCGTGTTCCAGAAGATCAAAGAGTTTTGCCAGTCTTGTGACATCTGCCAAAGATTGAGTACTGGAAGGGATAAAATTAAAGCTCCTATGATCCCTATGCCAATAATTGGAGAACCATTTTACAGAGTGGGCATTGACATAGTGGGTCCTCTTTGTAAACCAAGCAGACGTGGTTACCGATACATTTTAACCATGATTGACTACGCCACAAGATATCCAGAGGCTGTAGCTCTAACTAACATCGAGACAACAACGATTGCAAATGCACTGTTATCCATTTGGGGAAGAACTGGTTATCCTAGAGAATTGGTTTCAGATTTGGGAACCCAATTCACTTCCAGACTTATGTCGAAATTGCTTGAGTTATGTGGTATCAGACACCTGACTTCAACAGCTTATCATCCACAGACAAATGGACTAGTTGAAAATATGAACAAGACTTTAGTCAAAATGATAAAGTCTTACAGTCAAGAGAAGCCATACGACTGGGACGTCAAATTGCAACAACTGTTATTCGCCTACAGGACCGTCCCTCATGACAGTACTGGCTACAGTCCATTTGAATTGCTATATGGAAGGAAAGCTCATGGTCCATTAGACCTGATAAAGGAATATTGGGAGGAAAGTCCGGCAACAGATCCAGTTCCAGTGTCGGAGTATTTAAAGGATCTTCAATCAACAATGCAACTGGCTAGGGACATTGCACAAGAACATTTGCTTGCGGCTCAGCAGAGACAAAAAGACTATTATGATTCTACTGCTAAACCAAAGATCTTCAACATCGGAGATGAAGTTTTATTTTTATCTCCCAACAAAACCAACAAACTTCAATTGGATTGGTCGGGACCCTGGAAGATCATCAGAAAACACAACCAAATAAACTATGATATTTATGATGAACATTCCAATGTAGAAAGAAGAGTCCATATAAACATGTTAAAGCCTTATGTTGAAAGGTCTGCTAATGTATGTTTTGTTGTTTCGGAGGAAGAATCCGGTCCCTTTTCTTTTTGGGAGGGTGATCGTGAACAGTACAAAAATTTGGATCGGGTAGAAATGAACATAGAATTGTCCCAACCACAGAGAAGAGAGGTTGTGAAAGTTTTGAGTAAATATAAAGACATATTTTCAGATTTGCCAGGAAAGGTCCAGGGAGTCCAGCATCAAATAAACACCGGTGATGCAACTCCCATAGTATCTCCACCCTACAGGGTCACGGGGAGAATTAATGAGTGTATTGAAAAGGAGATTAAAGAAATGTTGGACCTAGGTATTATTGTTCCATCAGTTAGCTCTTGGGCTTCACCCATAGTGTTGGTACAGAAGCCAGACAAGACAATTAGATTTTGCGTGGATTATAGGCGGTTAAATAAAGTAACCCAGACAGATACTTACCCTATGCCACGTTTAGACGATCTGCTAGAAAGGATGGGGAAGGCCAACTTTATTAGTAGTATAGATCTGACTAAAGGATTCTGGCAAGTGCCCATGGCACCACAGGATCGACACAAAACCGCCTTCCGAACCCAAAGTCGGTTATTTGAATTTTCTGTCCTCCCTTTTGGGCTAAAAAATAGCCCAGCCACATTTCAGAGATTAGTAGACAGTGTTTTAAGTGGGCTGGGGTCTTTTTGCGTGGCCTATATCGATGATATAGGGATTTTCAGCGATTCCTGGGAAGCTCACCTTGAACATTTGGATCTGGTGTTAAGCAGGTTGAGAGAAGCAGGGTTAACTATTAAGGCTTCTAAGTGTAAGATAGGATACAATGTTACTAAGTATTTAGGACATTTAGTGGGAGGAGGTCATATTCGACCTGACCCTACTAAAGTGGCAGTTATTCACCAGTGGCCAGTGCCCAAAACGAAAAAACAGGTTAGGGCATTCCTTGGATTGGCTGGATACTATCGCAAATTTATCCCATCTTTTAGTAATTTGGCGGCCCCTCTTTCGGATCTTACCAAAAAGAAGAACCCGAACCAGGTAATTTGGACTCCAAATTGTCAAACTGCCATGGATCAATTGAAGAAATCAATTACATCGGAAAGTTTCAGGTTTCAAGCACTTTATTAGGGAAAGATACAAAGTCAAAGGAGAGGGGAAGTTACCTGGAGTTGCAGGCATTCCTGGTCTTGGAGCTAGCAGCTGGGGCGCATTCCATCTGCTGGCCTCAAAGCTTGGCCCAGGAACTGCGGAACTCCCTGCTGCAGTTCACACTAATGTAAAGGCGGGGCTACAAGATGCGCTCGCCGTCAGGAGGAAGAAAGAAGAACTCTTCTCTGTTTCCATTGACCACCTTCGTTACCATTGAATGGCCTTGCAGGTCCAAAGCCTGGCTGCTTCCTGCCTGGCTTCCCACAGTTATATTAACCCCATTTGCCTGCTTTCCCACAGGCCTCACCCCTCCGAGGATGCCTGCCATAGAGAGGTGTGGGCGGGAATGCTTCTGGAACATGGCCACGCAGCCCGGAAGACTCACAGCAACACAGAGATTCCGGCCATGAAAGCCTTCAGCTACAAAATGCAGAATATCAATAGTTGTTAGTGTGAAATCTCAGTGAATGCCAAACCCAGAGACTCCGTGGCCAGGACTGGGATTTCCTCTGGATGAGAAGAGGCCTCTCCCTTTCCAGGAGACCTTCTCTCGTGGCCTGGCCAGGCTCTGAGTGCTCAGGAGGCGAGGAAGGGGATGCGGGGAGAGACCCAGGGCACAGAGTTCCACCATTTGGAAGCCCCCGAAAGCCTCAGGAGATACCTGGCAAGGGAACCCCAAACCTTTCACAAATTTATTGAATTATATTTTGGGGTGTGCTGTATTCCTAGTGTCTCAAATGTATGGTGAAGGCCCCTGGTCCCCTTCCCTTCTATGTACATCCAACCCTGGGAACGGAGAGTCCTCTACCCTCAGTAAACCTCCCTCTAGCGATCTCCCAGCCTAGACATGGAATCCCTCTTGTGTGAGAGTGACAGATAGACAATCCCTTTATCAGTTGGGCTGTTTTGCACTCTTTACCTGGCCAGGTGTGTCCAGAGGTCTAGGATTCCCACAGATGCAAAGGCTAAGCAAAGGTGAATAAATGAGCCTTTTGAGTGGATACCCGGCCCTCTGGCTCTGTGGCATGATCACCTTTTGTGTTCTGTGCCTGGCACTGTTGCCTTCTTCGGAATGAGACATTAAGTCAATCAGGGAATCACCTGCACACCCACTCTAGAGCAGAAGTGTCCAATTCATTTTTATCAGTGGCCACACCATTCTTATAGTTGCCTTCAAAAAGCCATTGAACCCATGGATGGAGACTCCAACTATAAGGCCAACTATAATTTTTTTAACCTTTTTACCCAGTTTGGTTCCTCAGATGTTCTTGAATGACATCTATCCCTTTTTATTATCTGCCATACAACTGGGGATAATGGGAGTTGCAACCCAACAACATTTGTGGCTCTGAGGATGGGGAAAGGTTAAAGGACATGTAAAGTCAGATACATGTCCCCTGGGTTAAACAGCTCAGCAGTTTAACTTGATGGCACAATGGGTTGAACTGCTGAGCTGCTAAACTTGTTGATCGAAAGGTCGCAGGTTCGAATCTGGGGAGCGGTGTGAGCTTCCACTGTCAGCCCCAGCTTCTGCCAGCCTAGCAGTTCGAAAACATGCAAATGTGAGTAGATCAATAGGTACCAATTGGGCGGGAAGGTAACAGTGCTCCATGCAGTTATGCTGGCCACATGACCTTGGAGGTGTCTACTGACAAAGCTGGCTCTTCGGCTTAGAAATGGAGATGAGCACCAACCCCCAGAGTTGGATACGACTGGACTTAATGTCAGAGGAAAACCTTTACCTTTACCTTAAAGTCAGATATCCTATCCACAAGCCTTGTGTCCAGATGCAACTGTATTCCAACTCCTTACAGGTCTGGTCATGATGTCGAATGAGGAGGAAGACGGAACTTGTAGTCCAATATCCAGAGGCCATATAAAATGACCTGGAGGGCCTTAAAGCATCTTAAAGTGCAATGTTCTGTGTCTTGTCTTTTCACTGCACCAGACGCATGGGGAGGCCTCCAACGCTCAGAGTAAGCGAGGAGGAGTGGAAGTGAATAGACATTGGCTTCCTGTCCTTGCTCAGAATGGCTGATGTTTCCTCTACACACCACTCTAAGCAAATCAATATAGTAAGGGAGATTGCTGTTCATGAGCACTTCTTTCCTTCCCCTTGCTACCTTATAATGTTTGAGGCAGAGCTTGGAAATAACACAGCAAAGTTTAATGCGTCATTGCCTCTGTCTTGAAATTACTGGTTACAATTCTTTAGTAGAGGTTGCTCTAACGTATTGAGAGTTGAAAATGGTGGAATCTCAACAAATTCGTTTGTTGGGAAATTTAGCTTAATGTTAATGGGTTTCCTCATTTTGTCTGCTCACTAAATGGATTTTTGGTTGTGTGTGGAGGGCCTTTCCTGTCTCAGCCCCTTTTTGTGATGAGGGGGTTAATTTTAATTTTTTATTAAACATTAAAGGTTTCCCCTTGACATTAAGTCAAGTCATGTCTGACTCTGGGGGGCCCACGAGGTCTCTTCCAACTCTAGAATTCTTCCAGAATTTTAATTGATCTTTAAATTTAAGATCAGTTTAGCAACTTGGGCTAACTTGGCAACTTTGACGATACATTCTTCTGTTTCTTCTACATTGGTCTGCTTCCAGGACTGAGCAAATAATATTCTTGCTGCTGTTGACATGTATCGAAGAAGAAATCCATATTTGTTACATAGTTCTTTATCAACAATTTCTGAACAAAATCATCTCCGATAACTTTGCAAAATCAGTCTTGAGAATGATCCTGGACCAATACCTTTTCAAATGAGTTAGTATTTAAGCTTCCCAAAACCTTTGCTGAATACAGGTTCTGTTTGGAAATTGAAACTTTCCAATAATAATAATATTATTTCCAATAACAACAATAATAAGTATATTATTATTATTATTATTATTATTATTATTATAATATTGGAGGAGTCTGCTAAGAAATATCAGGTGCTATCAGTTATGTATCAGAGAAAGGCAATCGCATGAAATTCATGGAGTTGCCATAAGTTAACATCTGATTTTGAAGGCACATATGCAATATGGTGTAGCAGGTGAGTTTCCCCCTCCCATCTGTAGTCTGCAGGAGGAGCTGAAGGAGGCCTTGATACAAACCCAGGTTTATCACTTTTTAAGTAAATGGAGCCTTCCTGATGTTACCCAAAGTCCATAGTTGACGTGTCAGAAGTCTAGAGTATAGATTGCTTTTCCAGGTTCACTTCTTCTGAAATTCCTGTTGTTCTTGATTCTTAGTCTAGAGAGCAGGAGGAGCTGGAGGAGGCCTTGGAGGTGGAACGCCAGGAGAATGAGCAGAGGCGGTTTCTAATACAGAAGGAGGAGCAAATGCAACAGATGCTGAAAAGGAAGAACAAACAGGAGTTGCTGGATAAATTGGTAGGTAATGAAAGATAAGGACTTCCGAGGGCACCTCTCAACACTTATTTGGAACTGGAATAAATTGTGTTTCTCTTTGTCTGGTTTATTCCTGTCGTGTAGCAAAATGCAGGTTCTGTAGGAAAAAAGGATGATGATGGAAAAGTTATTGAAAAAGAGTGTAAAAGAGTAACAACAATAAAACAAATTCTAAAGCAACTATCCATAAATAAGTATATGAATTAAACAGATGTTTGCAAACTTCAGAGGCAGACAGCATGGTGTAGTTCGGCAACAACTCTGAAGCCAGGGTTTGAATCCCTATTTGGCTATGGAAACCCACTGGGGTGATCTTGGAGATGTCAGACTCTCTCAGTCTCAGGGGAAAGCAAAGGCAAGCCTCTTCTGAACAAGTCTTGCTAAGACAGGTTCATCTTAGGTTTTCCATTCCTCAGAAATGGCTTGAAAGCACACAACAGCAAATGCAAATCCATCCAATCTTGAAAGTTAATCAGAGTTAGCTCTGGTTAGTAGTTGGATGGGAGAATACTGAAAAATACCAGGTGCTCTAAGCCTATTTCAAGGCAAGGAACTGGCATAACCACCTCTTGAGTATTCCTTGCTTAAGAAAACCCTTTGAGATTCATGGGGCTGCCAACAATCAGTACAAATGTTTTGGTGTGCCTTTGTTAAATATTGGAATAATAAAGAAACACGTATTTACATTCCTTTGTTTCAAAAATGCAAATAGCCTAATGAACAAACTAAATAACATACTAATAATGTCACAGTATGAGCTTTTCCAAAATATACATAGACAACATGATCCAGAAATGCAAAGAGAAAATCTGAAAGTAGAAGACATTAAATAATCTTGGGAAATGAAGATGCAACAGATTTGATTACTCATCTTTTTTTTTCTTTTACAAATAACCACAATTACTTTCATAGTCTTATATTGTTGTTTTTAAGCATTGCTTGGAGCTCCCGGTGGCACATTGGGTTAAACCTTTGTGCCGGCAGGATTGCTGACCAAAAGGTTGGCGGTTCAAATCCGGAGAGCGGGGTGAGCTCTTGTCTGTATGCTTCGGTTTCCCATGTGGGGACATGAGAGAAGCCGCCCACAAGGATGGTAAACCATTCGGGCGTCCCCTGGGCCACGTCCTTGCAGACAGCCAATTCTCTCATGTCAGAAGCGACTTGCAGTTTCTCAAGTTGTTCCTGACACGAAAAAAAGTATTGCTTTGTCTATACATACTGTTTAATTTTTTTAGTTTATGACTTTGATTCATATCCCAATTCTCTGGCTAGTTGGTTTGGAATTAGTTTGATTTAGTTTTTACCATGTGCACAGTTTCCAATTAAAATTCTGGTCCTTTTCATTACTGTTATTCTTGCCTTATGCCACCAAAGAGCAAGGTTAGCCGCTCAGGTTTTTCAAAGGATTTCTCCTAGACAGACTTCAGCTGTCATGCTTCACTGGACTTGTGTAGTATGTATCTCCTTGTGTGGAGTTATGCATTCATTGTGCTATGCCGTTCTTGTATTGAATGATAAATTGCAGCTGAACATCTTTCTGGGTTCACAGGCAAATTCTTCCCATATCAGGAGAAAAACAGGATAAAAATAAAATAGATAAGTAAATAAACTAATAAATTGTTCATCCATGTGTGCATATATACATAAAATGACACCTCATGTAGAACTCCTCTTCCTCAACTTTGAACCTGAATATGGATGTTTCACATTGGATAAAGGTGCTCAGGTGGAACGTACAGGTGTGTTAGACACCAACATGATTGCAATCTTTGTCATCTTACTTTCTAGTGGGAATTTGTATTCTGATAAATAAATGCTGTTCGACTCCAAATCCTATCAGTCTCAGTCATCTTGCCTAGTGATCAGGGATGAAAGGAGTTTTCTTTGAGCAACAGACTGGACAACTCTAGGTTTTGTCATCTCTGTCTTGGCACATACATACTTGAATATAAGCTGACCCGAATATAAGCCGGGGCACTTAATTTTACCACAAAAAACTGGGAACAACATATTGGCTCTAGTTTAAGCCGAGGGTAGGAAATGCAGCAGCTACAGGTAAATTTCATAATGAAAATAAACACCAATAAATTTACATTAATTGAGGCATCAGTAGGTTAATTTTTTTTGAATATTTATATAAAACTGTAATTTAAGCTATGACTGTCCAACTCTGATTAAACCATTATTCTAACCTTCTTGAATGTAAATGTGCTTATGTATTCTTCCAATAATAATAGAGTAAAATAATAAATGCAATAATAATAATAATAATAGAGTAAAATAATGTAAATGTAATAATAATAGTAAATAGAGTAAAATCATAAATTTAATAATAATAATAATAATGACCCAGTAAAATAATAAATAACTGACTCAAGTATAAGCTGAGAGGGGCTTTTTCAGTCTTTAAAAAGGGCTGAAAAACTCGGCTTACACTTGAGTATATATTGTAATTCCACCACTTCACTCAGAGTAGTGTGCAGCTATTTCATTATTCACTAAGGTACTGTGCCATAGCTTAGACTGAGAGACAATGGAGCAGTTGATGTGAATCTTCTCCAGGCTGCAAACTATTAGTCTGCACTGGCTTAGTTTACTGGAACAGGAGAATATCTGTGTTGGGAATTGCCTCATCTGCTGTTCTCCTGCAACTTCTTCATATTTGCAAGCTGTTACATTCATGTACAGTACATGCTTTAAAACTGTTTTTTAAAATACCTATTTATTCTGTTTTAAAAATGGAGTAAGGCCTCTTATTTGCAGGTTCGACATTTGTGCATTTGATCACTCATGGATCCTGCTTCGTGACTCTGTGCTCAGCTTTCAGTGGTTGTTGACCACAGAGTCATGTTCCAGGACCTAGCAATTACTAGAAAGATGTTCTCTCAGATAAATATATTGACTTTTTTATTTGCAGTTTTTCACTTTCACTTGGATTGTTTATGAATGTGGAGGGCTGTTTCACCGGCTAAACTTGAATGTTTATTTGGGTTGTCTTATTTCTCTCTTGGGCTGTATGGCTTTCATTTCCCAGTTATCCGCTCCTAACAAACTCCTAAGAGTTTTATTTTTAAGAGCATAACAGCTGTGTTCCAGATTCTTCTATCATAGCAGCCCCCCCAAAAAAACCTTTTTATTGTTTTGGCTTTATGATTCTACCCAGTTGTTTATGTTTTTTTTATTTTATTTCTGTTCTGTTTCTTTTTTTCCTGTGGGGAGGCTAAGCACTTGAACTTCTTGTTGAGCCCTGAGGGGTACCTACTGAAATGGGAGGGAGTTTGGTGTCAGCTGATTTAAGAGGTGGTTTTGCTCTTCTGGGGGCTGAACTGAGGGAGGGAGCTTCTCTTGGGAGTGGGACGCTGGAGAGTATGGGTCATTTACTGGATTTTTTAAAAAGAGAAAAGGGGTTTTTAAAAATTATTATCCAGGCGTGCTTCTTGCCTTGGAGGTTGACCTTCTCCTCCCCAATAGGAAAATGTTCATTTTGCAGACAGTGGAATTGTGAAATGTTTAACAACTTTGCTACCTACTCAAGATTAAACTCGTAATTTCTTTCAGAGCTCCCAAAAGTTACTTTTTGGGGACTATGTCTCCCAGGATAGTGGGAGCGATAGTCACAAATTTTCTGAGTTCTGTAGTGATCGCAGTGGATGGAACTGGAGACCAAGAGTGCATCTACACTGTCGAATTAATGTTCTTTGCCAACACTTTAACTGCCATGGCTCAGTGCTATCGAATAATGCGAGCTATAATTTTACAAGGTTTACATTTTTGATAGGATGCCATATTTAAAATGGAACAGCCTTTTTTTCTGATGCTGTAGAGCAGAGTTTCTCAAACTTGTTGTTCATTCGTTCAGTCGTCTCCAACTCTTCGTGACCTCATGGACCAGTCCACGCCAGAGCTCCCT